CTGCACAGACCCACAGCCCTGGAAACCCGCACAGGGTCGCTTGGAATCGGAACCTGCTCCAAGGCACACAGCTGCCAATGGTCCCGCTGGAGAAAATTTTAGGGCTGTGTCTCCGTGGGTGACATCATAAGTCACTGCCAAGCTCCCTTTCTGTGTACCATTGGAAAACTGTCCCACCTGATGTTGTCCAGTCTGAGCAATGAAGGTGGGACAGGGAAAAAGAGGGAGAAATGTGTAGTGTCCTGTGCCTCTTTTTTTGCAAATGTCTCTGCAAGGCTTTTAGCATCAGTTTTCTGAGCCAGACTGGTTGTAGCCCCACCCTCTAAACTCTGCCAGGGCAGTGTGACCACCTAGGGAGTCCTGTCTCCAGATTCCTAACTCACAGTATTTTCCTTATTATCGTAATTTTTTCACTTGCGAGTGTGGGAAACTGATGTCCTGGATCTTATGGTAGATCCAGAAGCCTTGGAGTTGTTCTATGAGCACTTCCTACGTGGGATGCCAGTCCCTTCACAATGGCGAGTCCCCTACCTGGTTTTCATTGCTATCGCCTAAACCGCCTTTGTTCCATTTTTATACCCCAAAGTCTTCCTTGAATGAACAAAGCAATACTAATAGTCCCTAAGAAAATGAGGCTTCTAAGTGTCTTCAGAGAAGGCATACTTTGGACATGGCTGGGATCCTTGTGTCTGCTTTCGGGGATACTTTATACAACAAGCCAATTGAGGAAAAGTAGATGAGACTCCTCCAAGCTGCTTCAAAAGTAAACAAACCTAAATAACATCATCAAACACGCATACACACACACACACAAAGGGGCTTCAGAAAGTTCATGGAAAAATTCCACTATCTTCTAATTCCATTTTCCCACAGGCTTTTTTGAGGCTCCCTTACAAAGAAGAGATAATAATACTCTGGGGCAGTGGTAGCCTGCTTTTGACAAATTAACTGGACTCTCTAATAAGTAATCTTCTAGGTGTGCAATAAATGTTTTTTTCATTTAAGAAAAAAAAGTATATGGATTTTAAAGACAAATGAATGAAGATGATAAGGAATGAGATCATGTTTGCCTGATAAATGAGTTGGTGCCAAAATAATGAAAAAACTTTGTTTTCAGAGCTTTTTGGCTTCTGGAATTATACCTATAGTAACAAAAATTTTATAGAAAAGTAACCAAAATCATGCAACTATGTAGTTCCAAGTAGTTTACAATGTTGTATCTCTGTTCATGATATAAAATACAAAATTAATTTTGTATTCTAAAACAAAATAAAACAAATCTTGAGTTTTCATAACATTTCTTACTTTCCCCAATAAGTCTGCTTTTCCCTCTCTCGACTAAACACTCCTTGGTGTCATCATGAGCTTTTTTTCAATACTGGTATATGCAAAATGATTACCAGGAATGACAGTGAGAGTACTTTAGTTGTTATGACCACTGGTAATCATGAAAGAACCAAAGATGAGATTATTGGAAAGGCTGTGCAAGAATTGAAAGAAAATGAGTTAACTACTTCTTACTCTATCAGAGAAACAAGCTATAATTCACCTAATCCTACAGGTTAATGGTATTTCAAGGCAAGCTTGTTATTATAAGGACGTTTATTTTGTTGACCTCCCACCACTGACTCAGAGCAGCCCTAAAAGACGGAGTAGAACTGTGTTATAGGTTTTCAAGGCTGTGCATCTTTATGGAGCTGACTGCCACATCTTTTTCCTGTGGAGCAGCTGGTGTGTTTGAACTGTGGCCCTTTTGGTTAGCAGCCTTATGTTTAACCACTGCACAAGCAGGGCTCCTTCATATGGGCCTTGTTGTTGAGCGCTGTCAAGTCAGTTCCAACTCATAGCAACCCTGCATCAGGTTTCCAAGGCTTTAAAGCTTCATATCAGCCTTAGGAGCTAACTTACCTGGTAATGGTTGGTGGTTGGTGGAGTTGGTGAAGCATGATAACAGCATCTATAGTATTACAACCAATTTTATATTTATCCTGTTATAAAATGTAGACATTGATAAATGGTTTCTTATCATATGCTCGACTATTACTTTTTGTTAGATTCTGTTGAGTTCATTTTGACTCCTGGCGACCCCATGTGACAGAACCAAACTGCCCCATAAAGTTTTCAAGGCTTTAATCTTTATGAAAGTGGGTCACCCAGTCTTACTCCTACGTTATTAAACTCTCAAATTCTCTCACACTTTACTAAGAATGTATACCATCTTTATTTAATACCGAATGTTTGACATGTGGGAAGGTACTATGCTAGATGTTGAAAGATCATTTTCAAATGATCCTGTTGTCCATCATCTTAAAATCTAACCTTAATCTACCCTGTTTTGGGGTATCTAGAATCAAATATCAAATACATTTCCAAGTGCATTTTCTCTACTATCCCTTCAGTGTACCTATTGGATTAGGAATCTTTTCATTTCCTAAATTCCTCACAGCTGGAGAAATGCACTGGAGCTAAAATTTGAGAGTAAATCATTTGAATGTATATACAAGTGTTATTATGTATTAATTTTTATAAAAGATTAAAATAACCATCTGATATTTTATATGCAAAGATTACTAAAGTTAAAAATATAGTCAATATTTATAGAGAACAACATAGATGCCGAGAATGTATTACCAGGGGCTTCAAAAAGTGCATGGAAAAATGGAATACAAAGATAACGGAACTTTTTCATAAACTTTTTGAAGCTCCCTATAAACTTATGTTGTAACTATTCTGAATAGTTTTTTTACTGGATACAAAACCATTTTTTAACTACGGCTTTAAATTTATAAGGTGCTCTGGTGGCACTGTGGGTTATGTGTTTGGCTACCAATCGCAAAATCAGTGGTTCAAACCCACCAGCCACTTTGTGGGTGAAGTATGAGGCTGTCTACAGCCATAAACACTGACAGTCTCAGAAACCCAAAGAAGCAGTTCTACTGTGTTCTACAGGGTTACTATGAGTAGGAATAGACTTATTCTAAATTTCTAGGTACATTAATTGCTAATGGTTAGTTTTAGTATGCAAACAGTTTCATCTGCCTCTCTTTCAAATGTGGGACTGACACCTTAAAAAGAAGACTAATTCTAGTAAGATATTTCTTGAAAAATTATCAATGGAAGCAGGGCTACCTTAAAAAAATTATTCAAGAACAAGTAAACTGTGTTAGCCTGGTTAAGTTAAAAAGTTTCCAAGAAGGCCAACTAAAATAAAGAAAAGAAAAATACACTTACTCCCCTCCTTTATTATTAGAGAAAATAATAAAATTTAAGTCATTTTAGACAGTCAGATTAGAGTAGTAAAAAGGAAAAGACTTCATAGCTTAAAAAAAAACCAACAACAAATGGAGCCATGTATGTATATCGATCTCCTCCAGGCTTTGCCTACTGTATGGATCTAGTGCATATTATTTATTAAAGTTTCAAAGTTTTGGTTAAACCTGTCAGCCATGGTACATTCACAAAGGGGCAATTAACAGTGAACTGGCAAACTCGGTTGCTCAAATTTTACCACTGAAAGCTCATCAAGTTTGTTACCATTAAAATGAATCTGTAACCAAGAAAGTAAAACAAGGCTTTTTAAAGAACTTAAGGGAAAAAAAGGTCTACATACAAGTTAATTGTCAGCCAAGACTTCCATAAAATTAAGAAATAATTTATTTCCTGAAGCTGTTATTGACTTTTAGAAATTCTCATTTGGAATGAATCATTATATCTAGTTCATTTGAACATTCTAAATACAAAGCAAGAGAGGGAGTCCTTGAAAACTCTGTTAAGATCAGTTTGTATAAATAAAGATAAGTTATGGCTAACTAAGTATTCAGTTAACTGTAACTAAGTATATAACTAAGTTCAGAATACAACAATGGAATAAAGCATGTTGATTCATTTTGAATGCGTTCTCTAAACTAAGGAATAAATAGTGTTCCTGGCTGTCTGTCTTCCTTTAGTAAAAGAAGAAGTCAGAGACTCATTTTTCTAAATGCAGGGCAGGGGATGGGAGCAAATGGGAACTTAGCTGGAGTTGCCCAAAGATGAGCTATAATCTATCTATGAAGGACTCAAGAGTCTTACCCAACTAGTATAAAGGGCTCTAGATAATTAGTATTAAAGGAGTTTTTTGGGGGTCTAAAAGATTTATATCACCCTCCAAAGGGTCCAAAATTGTTCATCAAACTTATGTTCTGAAATGAAAAAACTGGAAATGAGAATGGCATAGTTTCATTTAAATTAGTTCTGTGACTTAATACTGACTATCAGTGGGAACAGTTGCTTCTGTTTACCTCTCAGAGGCAACTGCAAAGGTAGATGAGATAACTTGCAAAAGATTTGACTTCATCAGGAAAAAAAGCAAGATAAATTACAAGGCCAGACGATTCATATCTATTATACAGTACAATCTTTTGACCCTGGGTGTTACAGATGATTAAGCACTTGGCAGTCTACCAAGAGGTGTCTCAAAAGCAAGTCCTGGTGATCTACTTCTGAAAAATCAGCTACTGAAAACTCTATGGAGCCCAAGTATATCTGATACTCAGGGAGTGACATGAGTCGGCGTCAACTCAACGACAACTGGTCTTTCTCAATGATCCAATCAAAGAATTTAAAGTCTTCTTTCTAATAATTTATCTGCTAAAGAGGGTATAATTTAAGAAAAAAGTACTCAAAATTTATGTTCAAGAAGAGTGTACACATAAGCCATTTTCTAAATAGGGTAGGACATTCTGGCAAAATATATATATATAAAAATGTGAAAAATTCTGTACATCGTTTTGTTTGGATAAACCCATTATCTTTGCATCCAAATGTAAAATACACTACAGACTATTAAGCAATGCTTCTATGAATGACATATAGACATTTCTGGTCTGTTGACTTGTCTGTCAACAAAGCACCTCTTTAAAGGAATCTACAACCTATTTTAAGTGAACCAACCAACTACATGTATAATTGGACACTAGGTAAATGTGGGTTACATACAACACTTTCAATTGTTGATAGAATCAAGCAACCATATATAAACTTTATTGCATTTAGCTCTGTACAACAGAACACTCTCTTTCATTTTATTATAGAACTGCCCGTTAGGCTGCAGTAGAGCTGTTTACGTGAGAATTCCAACAGCTGATTGATATTTCCAACAGCAGTGAGGCTACGGCATATTAGTTTGCTCTGTACAAACCCAAACTAACTCCAAACTACTAAAAATGTGTAACTTCTACTGATATTAAAATCTCAGAGGAGATTTGATATGTATAACTTGCCATTTTTAAATTCTAAATTCAAAGACCACATAAATTCAGAGTTAGCTTTTTCTTTCTTTTTTTGTCTGAAAAGAGAGACTAAAATAAATATTTGAAAGAATAATAACATTATATATTAGAAACAGGACATGGAGACTGATTCAAGTTCAGGTCTGGCACACTGATTTTAGAATGCCAAATATTTCTCTCAGGAATTAAAAATACTTGGATATAGTTTAGTCCTTTCGTACTCTTCTTTTGCGTACCGACTTTACTGGCCCATCTCCAGATCCTGTGCTCTCATCTGTTTCCTTCATCTAGGAAAAAGAATTCCAAAAATGTTTATTTTAGTGCATTAAGTAGCTAGTTGAAATAGTGAACAATACAGAAGGGTTAGGCCAACAAGTACTGTAAACAATCATAGAAAGCTTTATTGAACAGAAATATCAAAATGTGAAGCTCTTGTTCCTCAATATAGCCTCCATCTACGTCTGTTTATACATTTCTGAAGGTGGTTTTTCCATCCTGGTGTGGCGCTGTGGGTTAATGTGTCAGACTGCAAAGCTGTTTGAATTGCAAGGTCGACAGTTCAAGCTCATCAGCTGCTCCTTGGAACCCTATACAGGGTTGCTATGGGTCGGAATCGACTCAACGGCACTTAACAACAACAACAACCCTTCCCTGAAGAATTCTGTGGTCTTCAATTTACACCACACCAAAATGGCAGTTTGGGCATTCTTGAAGGACTCAAATTGTGTTTCTTTGAAATTTTCTTTGAGTTTTAGAAACAAAAAGAAGGCTGAATAAGTAAGGTCAGGGCTGTAGGGTTTGGTGGGGTGAGTTCCTAATGAAATAACTCTTGCTGCTCTTGAAGAATGAGCAGGTGTACTATTGTGATGGAAAAAATTTCTTGATGCAACTTTCTGGCCTTTTTCTTACCAATGCAGTTTTCCACTTTCATAAATTTATTTATCATAAAGCCCTGTGATCATCCTGAGTCCTTAAAGAAAACCTATCAAGACTGTTGTTGTTTGTAAAGTGCTGTTGAGTTGGTTCCAATACATAGCAACCTAGTATAGGGATTCCAAGGAACACTTGATGAGCTTGAACAACCAACCTTGCAGTTCATACTGACTTTGCAGTCCAGCTCATTACCTGCAGCACCACAGGACACCTATCAAGATTACCCTTTGGGAATTCCAAAAAATAGATGCTGTAATCTTTTAAACAGACCTCTCTGCCTTGAATTGAACTGGTACTTGGGAATCACTGTTTTTGATTGGACCTTTATTTTAAAGGCACCATAAGCTTTGGTTTTCTTCCAAAAAGGAAAAACACGTTCAGCATTTCTCAAGCTGGGGGAACTGAAGAAAAAATTCAAGTCTTGACTTTTGTTATTGAAGGATTCTCTAGGTAAATTACTGAATGATGCAGAAAGCATCAAAAGAATACACAGAAGGAATACACAGAGTCACTGTACCAAAAGGAGATAGTTGATGTTCAACTGTATCAAGATGTAGCATATGATCAAAACCCAATGATACTGAAGAAAGAAGTCCAAGTGCATCGAAGGAATTGGCATAGGACAAGGCTCTAGGAATTGGTAGAATAAAAATTGAAATCTTTCAAGAAAGTGAGGCAGCACTGGAGGTACTCGCTCATCTATGCCAAGAAATCTGGAAGACAACTATCTGGCCTACTGATTGATTGGAAGAGATCTGTATTTTAACCCATTCCTAAAAGAGGTGACCTAATGGAATGTGGAAATCATCAGACAATATCTTTGATATCCCATATGAGTAAAGTTTTACTAAAGGTAATACGGAAATGGCTGTAAGCTTTCATTGACAGAGAACTTCCA